GCTAGAATGGTGTATCAATAATAATAAACAGCAACAAAGGAAATAGCTTCAGAAATAAAGAAGTAATCATTAACTGTACTAGTTAACATTGAGTAATTAAATATAACAAAGGCTAATACGGATTTTAATATGAAGAAATTAATACTCCTTTTTTTTATTTTGCTGTTAAGGGCATGAGGGAAACATAACATTAGTAATGTTGAAACATGAGCTAATTCATATATTTGCTGCTGGAAATAGAAAAGGATGGGTCAAAAGGTACATTCTATCTTTTAGATAGAAATAAGGAAATTTCTAGAAAGATCATTTCATCAAAGGAGAAATATAAATGGGTTATTGTGTAAGAACTTCAAATGATGTTAAGAAAGGCAATGAAGAATAAGAAATCACATTTGGTTGAGACCACAAAAACTGAGAAATATCTATACAGATCATAGTATTCAATAGAGAAAGGATATAAATATTCCTATGTGGAAGACCTACAATCCAAAACAAAAATATGACAGCAAACAGTAATTTTACCTTGAAAGGGAAAGTCCTTTATCTCTTCCAGCTATGTTCTGAAGAGTGAATTGCTAAATGGCAAACTCTGGATTTAGGTCCCTGCATTGGGGGTAATCTTAGCTTCTTGGTTTACCAACTGAAGGAATTTACCACATCTTCCTAAATTTTATTCTATCTACAAGCTGGACAAAAACTAAGCTCTGTTGGCCAAAATTAATATCTATTAGTTGTGACATTAATATATCTAGTAAACTAAGATGAAAAGAATTTCAAAGTAATAATAAAGATATAGGTTCCATAAAAATATGACAATAACAAATTTAATTTAAAAATATATGAAATTAGGCCCTACCTGGCGGTGCAGCAGGTTAAAGCACAGCACTAAGAAGCTAAAGCCACTTCCTCATGAATTCGATTCCCGCCTGCCCGGGAGGAGATCACATGGTGTGGCAGACCTCTTCTGACCCACCCGCTGCTCCCCTCAGCAGTGTACTTCGTTGATCTGCCTGTTCTGCTCCCCACTCTGTCTCTGGTGAAGCCTCTCGCCACCCCTGAGCCTCTGGCCTGTACCCCAGTTCTGTATGCACAAATAAATCTTAAAAAAATAAAATAAAGGGCCCTCCCTGGTGGCGCAGCAGGTTAAAGCACAGCACTAAGAAGCTAAAGCCACTTCCTCATGAATTCGATTCCCGCCTGCCCGGGAGGAGATCACATGGTGTGGCAGACCTCTTCTGACCCACCCGCTGCTCCCCTCAGCAGTGTACTTCGTCGATCTGCCTGTTCTGCTCCCCACCCTGTCTCTGGTGAATCCTCTTACCCTCCGCATCTCTGGCCTGTACCCCAGTTCTGTACAAATAAATAAATCTTTAAAAAAAAATAAAATAAAAAAATAAAATAAAATAAAAATATATGAAATTAGATACTATTGCACAACTACCACCAAGATTGATTAAAGAACTCAAGGGGTAATTACCAAAAAAATTAGTTAAATATCTAATATTGGGAAGGGAAAAGTGTGTATATAGGTGTGTGACACACAAACATGAAAAAAATAAAATCAGAAAGAGAAAAGTAGATAATAAAACTATCATTTACAACATTAAACAAAAAAAATGCTTACAGATATAAGAAAATATGCTTACAAAATGGACAAGTTTTTCTGATGCATAATGGATGTTAACAAGTCAACAGAGAAACAAATACACCAAAATAATATGGCTGATGGCAAAGAAAAACAATTAATAAAAACTGAAATACATGAATCTAATAAGCATGTGTAAATACCATTAATAATCCTAGATATTTTATAATAAACAAAGAAATCCAACTTTAATAACCAAAACCAATCCATTTTGTATTAATCAGCATGATAAACTAATTTGATTTTTTTTGCTTATTCATTGATACATTTTAAGAAAAAACAATCTGGTAAGGGTTTGGGGATTCATGGTTAAAGTGGCAAACGAAGTATATTTACCAAGAACTTTAAAATAGTTCATATTTTAATTTTTTTTATAAATCCTTCATTAGGAAAACACTGAGAAACTAATATTTTTGTGCAGCTGTTCTACAGAACATTACCTCTAAGTCCAAAATTTCAGAAGCAGCCTAGAGCAGTATTTTTCACTTCTTTACACAACAAAACAAACATAAAGATAACTTTTGTACAATGCACCTTAAAAACTCTAAATGGTTTTAAACATTTTAACATGTTTATGTCTCTGTGGGATGGAAATTAAAATTTGCTCTGAGGTATTTTATATTTCTTAGAGTAATAAAGAAAAAAAACTCCTGTTTTGTTCCAATTTGCTATTATTGTTCAAATAATGGCATAAATTTCTCCCTGAAAAAAAAAAATTTCTCCTTGATTTACAAAACAAAAATTATAGAAATATTTTGGGAACTGTATATAAAATATCATCAAATTGATATAATTTTCTTTGAATCCATATTTTCTTCATAATAAAAGAGCTACCTACTAGAAATTATGTTCAGCCAGAGGGTCCTAATATTAGCTGATTTTTCTATGTGTCATTTTTATTTTACATATTTCCAAAAATAAATGGTAATTTTACACTAAACAGAATTACAGACTTTTAAAGAACTCAAAAATCTATTAAATAAAATAAAATCTATTAAATAAAATAAAATAAAGTCTTTGTTATAGAATAATCCTATGTGAATATTGTGAAATAATAGGAAACAAAAAATTGGGATATTGGTATTATTAAACAAGCCAAGTACTATGGGCAATATGCATTTCTGATTTTAGAAAGTTACTTTGAAAGAACTGAATGGTACCCTCTTAGATATAAGGGAGATAGGCTTGATTGAATTCCTAGACAGTAAAGTAAATGTTTGCCAAAAAGTGATAAATGACAAGATTATTACAACCTGAAAGATGACATGCTTTTATCATGAGATTATAAAGACAGAGTAACTTTCATAAATGTCAGAAAATACTTTTTTAAAATTACTGAAATCCCAGATTATAATTCAAAGACAATATTTGTATTGAGTACATATGCCATTGTACTCGGACCTAGGAAAATTATCTGGGACTTTGGGACCCTAGTCTACTCATGGCATATCTCACTCTTTACAGGGGTCTTGTCAAATATGAGAAAGTTCAGAGAAAAAATGAGTACATGAAAGGTTGTATAGTAGCTATGAAAGGTTGTATAGTAGCTATGAAAGGTTGTATAGTAGCTGTCAGATTGGACAGGCTAACAACATCTAAAATCTAGAGGAAAAAAGATTGGAAGGTGATTAACACACTAGTAGGATTACAACCAATGATTATAAGTGATTCAAAGTAATGGAAGAAAAATGTCTAAACATATGTACAAACTATTTCTGAAAGAAATAGAAAACACTAGAAATAGCAAGAATGTGCAGTATAAGGAATATGGACTAATGTGCAATGCCTGAGCTCATGTCTTTAGCTCTAGGTCCTTGATCCAGTTACTAAGTTTCTCTGAATTTCTATTTCCTTATCTATAAAATAGGGATATTTGCATTGGGTGAGGATGGGAAAGCAGCTCACAATGTTGAGGTAGGATAGAGAAAAGTAAACTAGATGACTGCCATGTTTCTTTCATTTCAAGGGTTCTACCATCATAAAATAAGGGGAAAATTTTATCTCATGGTGACAAATCATTGCTAAATAATTTCATACATTCAACATATATGTATTTTGTGCCTACTACTTGTAAGTATAGAAATGCAGAAGTGAAAAAAGTCCAAAAATATTCTTGCCCTCATAGATGTCATATTTTGTGATGAGTGCAAGACAATAAACAATTTAAATTATATAGTATAATAGAAGGGGATAACTACTAAATAGAAAAATAAAAAGGTGAAATATGGCAAAAATGTTATTTCAGTAAATACTTTTAAAAATAAATTTTTAAAAGCATAAAATGCATTTGAAAATGCTGTGACCCAAATAATGTTACTAATAATGTGATTTCATAGATGTTACAATCTAAACAGTGTTCTCCGCTCCCACCCCCACAAATTTATACGTCGAAGTTCAAATCTCCAATACTTTACAATATGACTCTATTTGGAGAAGTTTTTAAAGAGGTAATTAAGTCATATGAGATCATTAGAATGGATCCTAGTGCAGTATGACTGGTATTGGTATAAGAAGGCATTAGGAAATAGAAAAGCAAAGAGTTAATGGCAATGAGAAAAGTTGGATAAGATGGCCAACTACAAGACAAGGAGACAGCAGAAGAAACTACTCTGAGTAACACCTGATCTAGAAATCCAATCTCCAGAATAGTGAACAACAAATTTCTGTTGTTTAAGTCACTCAGTGTGTGGTGCTTAGTAATAGCAGCCCTAGTAAGTTAATACAGAACATTGTAGCACATGAACCAAGTATAAATATTAAATTTGGAGCAATGCAAGCTGCATATTTTTATTGCAATCGAACTCTTTTCATAAACTTCATATTTAGAATTTATAGGTAGATTTCAGTTTTTCTGAATTTAGCTTATTTATTTGTTATTCCAGAATAATGCTACACATAATTCTTTTAGTATTAAATGGCATAAGAAACCTTAAACCTTAGGATTTTCTGTCACTATACTTAGTTTAACAGAAATTAATATAGGGTGTTCACAATTAATAGTAGCATGTTTAAACTATTTTGTAACTTTCATAATGTGAAACACAATTTTTCTTTCAAGACATATATGGGCAAACCTATTGAGGATGGAAACTCATAATTTTTTTAGAATATTCATATTAATAAGCAGGTAGTTCATAATGCCTGAAAATAATCTTTTCCAAATCTTTCGCTCCAACTGCTAAAAGAGCTTAGTACAGTATTATTCTATATATGTAATAACATGACCAATAACTGCTTTTACAGATAGTCAACTGTGTGGGAAATACTAATATTGTTTCCTATTCTAGATTTTCCTATTAATGATATACATCTGTTCTAAAGATAAAAAAAAAAAAAGGTAAATGATTATACTTACAGGTCCGGTTAACCTAGACACCTTTTCAAACTTGTTACCTTCTCCCATAAGTGCTTCTTCAGTCCCAGGTAGAGAATCTATTTTTACGAAAAGAGTGAAAAATTATTGCAGTTATTGCTTATTAGCTTCTGATCTATAACTTATTATGAGGATATTAAAGATATTACATTGACTGTTGAAAAATCATAGTGCTTGACAGTTAAAATATAGGTTAGAATGTTATTTATTTAGATTAAACACAACATATGAAAAACATAAAGTATTTCTAATTTAGAAGGACACAATGAAGTCAGAAAGGTAATAGCTGTGGTTACATTTTTTTTTTTTAAAGATTTATTTATTTGTACATACAGAGCTGAGGTACAGGCCAGAGGCTCAGGGGTGGTGAGAGGCCTCACCAGAGACAGAGTGGGGAGCAGAACAGGCTGATCAACGAAGTACACTGCTGAGGGGAGCAGCGGGCAGGTCAGGAGAGGTCTGCCACGCCATGTGGTCACCTCCGGGGCAGGCGGGAATCGAACTCATGCAGAAGTGGCTTCAGCTTCTCAGTGCAGCGCTTTAACCCGCTGCGCCACCAGGGAGGGCCCCTGTGGTTACATTTTTTATTCATACAGAACAACCTACTTTTGGCTTATTACTCAGTTAACTATTAGAACTTATAGACAATAATTTTTTTGTTTGTTTTATTCATCCACAGCCTTTTCTTATATATTTTTTGTATTTAAGTACAATTTCGTGTTTTCTCTTTTAAATGGAGTGGGAAATTCTGAAGTATTTGGAAAAGAATACATACTATTAAAAGGTAGTAGTTTCCTATTTTGATGTATTTAATGTATAAACAAGATGTGATTATTTAGCAAGAATAGATTGATGAGTGACTAATGACTTTCAAATATGTGACTACTATGGCAACACATACTACATGTTTGTTGGTTAAATTAATTATATAACACCAATGATTTTTGTGGTTTATAAACGCTACAATAAAGATAATGAACATGTAGCAACAGTGAGCTTTGATTTCTACTTAAGTGAAAAGTCAGTTAAAGAAAGGTATTTTAAACCACTAGAGACTTCTACAATTGTGTTATCGTATCTATTAATATTTGCAAGAGCCATTTGAGTTCTTATTTCCTTCAAATGCATGGACATATGGACACATTTTTCTGTGGCTTAAAATGTAAGTTCTGGGAAGAAAAATAGAGCATTAAATCAGTCAAGCACTAGTGGTCACCCAGGACCAAAGGGACAATGAAAAACAACACAAATCCATTCTCACAGCTTTTGACCCATGGAGCTCTCTGTAACTCTGATAATTTAGAATTTTATATTAAAAAATTACAAAATCCCAAAATACATAGTTTATCTAGATTGATATATATATATTTTTCTTTATTTTTTTAAGATTTATTTATCTGTGCATACAGAACTGGGGTACAGGCCAGAGGTGCAGGGGTGGTGAGAGGATTCACCAGAGACAGAATGGGGAGCAGAACAGGCTGAGGAAGAGCAGTAGGTGGGTCAGGAGAGGTCTGCTACGCCATGTGGATCACCTTTGGGGCAGGCCGGGTGATCTAACTCATTCTGAAGTGGCTTTAGCTTCTTAGTGCTGTGCTTTAACCTGCTGCGCCACCAGGGAGGGCAGAAATATATATATATTTTTTAATAAAACTAACTTTAGAAGAAACAAACGTTCTCACATTATATACAGGTAAGTTTTACCTACCACCCTTCAAAACAAAACCCAGATATTTAAAAGGAGTTAATTTTTATAGTAAAGTCAGTGTAGATAAATAGAATTACGCAAATAAAAAAATATTATGAGTACCTTCTTAGTGAGTATGGTGTGAACCTATACCTCTGAATCATAGCTAATGTTATAAGCCAATATTCATTCATTAAGATAATATTAATCCTTTCACCATGAATACTTGAACCCCTCATTCCAATTATAAGAGTGACAGGTAAAAATCTGGATATACAAATTAGCATAATGTAAATTTTCCAAGGATGAATTATATGCTACAGAAAGCTGTGAATAACTACTAGTGGTAATTTAGTAGGCATTCAGTATTTTTCCTGTTTAATTTTGTGTTGCAATTCTTGAGTAAAATATGACTTAATGAATGAATAACATGAAAATGTTCCATTCTATTTTACAAAGCAGGATATTTCTTATATAGGAGGAAAAAAAAAAACACTTTCTAGTAGAATTGCTGATCTTGTCAAGTTAGAAATATAACATACATGAGTTTTCCAGTTCTTCTCAGTGAGTAGTCAATAGTTTTAAAGAGGTGTTATCATTATTTTTGACTTTGCATGTATGTATACATTGATAAGTTAATTTATCCATTTATTTGTGTATTTGTACAGTTATTTATCTAACAAATAAACTTATGCGAGGTACTCTGCTAAGGGTTTTCAAATAAAATTGAGAAAATTTTCTGATTCTTCCTCTTTTGAAATTTACTTTTTACCATTTTTTAATAGAAATAAATACATATGAAATGAGGTTGTTGGTAACTTTTATGGTTTTATAGTCTGTCCTGTTCTTATTTAGTTAATTTTCCTAGCCATTGGTGTCGTATCTAGTGAGATCTATGATATAGGGTCTTATCCTAGAAGGACAACTATGAAATCGTACCAGAGTATTTGTGAATTTATACTTCTGGCCATATTGAGATTTCTTAAGTCTAAAGCTAATTATAGAATAGCAATTTAAAAGCTGACAGGGGCAATAGATAGATATGGTAAAAATAAAACCTTAGAGTTTCATGCTTAGAGGAAATGCATTCCATTATTTTTAAATATCTTCAGTACAGTATTCATGTAACAATAACTAGTGGGTACATTGTATAAATTATTTTGCTCTGTCTACTTCAGAGCAATTTCTTTGATACGTATACACAATTTAAAAAATAAGCTTTGGATTCTTTGAACTTCTTTAATCACAGAAAGGGGAAAATAAGTAATTAATCTTGCTAAGTATTAGACAGTTTATCTTATAAACTCATTTTAGAGATAAATAAGCTGAACCACCAAAAGATAAGTCATTTTTTTTCAGATTCTAGCAATCTCTGGCAGTACTTAGACTAGAAACTTAAGTCTTTGGTTGATCAGGCAAGCAGGTAGGGACCTAGAAATCTATAGAGATTACAATGTGTATTTCATTCATTTCTTGCTGTCATTATTTTTATGTGCTATTTGTGCTCCACAAAATTTTATGCATAAAATTATACCAGTTCATAGAAATATTTGTTTATTCATCTAAGATCACACTGATGCACAGGTGACATAAAAATAACAGTAGTGCTTTTGTATGGTGTTAAAAATATTCAGTTATTAGATCTAGTGGTTTGACTACCTTAAATGAAAAAGAATGTACCAAATTAGAAACTCACATATTAGAACTTGCTGACTAGGT